TACTCCATCATCATCATCGTATCGAGCACAGCACTATTATTTTCATGATTAGCTGCCTATATTTTAATTGAACATCTGTCATAATAGCAACACTATAAATGCAATCTTACCCCAAGGGTCTAACTAAACTACACTGTTTACTCCAAAATCTAAAAACACTCATGCGTCCACAAACCGCTCATTAACAAACAGACACAAAACACTTTGATAATCAACATAACACAATGCCACAGATAAATATTTTCCAGCAAATAGATAAGGTCTAGTAATTTTCAGATGTCAAAAGTACTACATTTATCAGTTACTGCAGATTACAATGTTTTGCTACTTGATATCATTTGAAGCGTATAACATTCTAGATTTGGGGTTTTAGTGAGAATAACATAAAAATATAACAATATAGCATTTATAGTTTTCTTTCCATGATATCACAATACATTATATAATTGGCAAGGATACCAACAATCTGTACAAGCTCCAGAAAATATTTGATATATTAAGAATATTTATTCACTGGACTAAAACTTAACACGCTAAGCGATATCACAGAATTATATACATGAACTGTAATGTTCTCTTACCTTCAGAGTGGCATCACATCATACTGTAACTTTACTGTAAATCTGAAAACACTTTTAAGGCATCGCGGATGACTTCCGGTGGTGTTTGAGCGGAAGCGCACACTCATCTGGATCGACCTGCGCACCTGCTCACGATCACTGAAGACGAGAGTGTGTGCTACAGATCGAAGCATTCTGAGCATGCGCAGAATCAAGACGAAACTCCCCTCGTGATTGGTCGGTAGAGCTGTCAGTCATTTAAACACGCCCCGTGATTCATAATCCATTACTTTTCCCGTTAGTCATGACCCACTGCCCGAAACCCGTGCACAAAGATCTCACTGCAGCCAATGCATAAAGAACCAACTGAAAATAAGCGACAAACAATTATGTTCTCCGTGTAAACGTTTACTTCGAAGGGCGCTACTGATGTTCTCACGTTACTTTGATGGAGGCTATCATTGTATCAGTATTGCGCAATTCAGTGTGTTTTACTGCGCGTTTGTTGGCAAAGCCTTTTGCTTAGGATGTGTTATGACAAGCATAAATATTTCCTAACAATAAACTGTCTGTGACAAATCTACTCAACTATGCTCTGAATCAGAGACAACAAAGTCTGAAAATCATAAGAGCAATTTCTGAGTAATATAAAACTGTTTTCTTTGTGAGACGAAATTAAATGTGTATACCCAGATTAGACTTCACTCAACTAAATCACTGTGCTATTGCCTTTATTCTGTGGTCTGACACTTCCAGTGTCTTTATATATGTGGATATTAATTATTATCTGAACCCAACTCAGCGTTTATATAATTTATATTTATCCAGAGCAGCAGTTACCAGTTCATGCACTCCCTAAAATTGCGTCGCTCACCCTCTATTATTTCACCTTTAGGAACAGGGGCCAGTACCAAAAAGCTAGTTGAACAAACTCAGGGTAACAGGACTGGTTTTGAGTTGACAAAACCAAACAAATCTAAACCCGTGGTGCCACTACACTTTCTCTGTCAGCTCGGATTTTGATCCTGAGTTTGTGATTAGTTCACATTTATGTACTGAGTTACATAGTTGATGATGAAGAGATCATTATGAACAATATGAAGTATTTAAACACATTTACACAGCAAGTGAAAACACGACTACTTGAAGCTATTTATAAATGATTAATAATTACCCCAATTAAACACCTGAAGCAGCTAATCAAGGTGTTCAGGATTACTTGATAATTACAGACAGGTGTGTTGGAGCAGGGTTGGAGACCCCTATATTACAGCAACTGTGTGTAGTTTTGTGTATTTTTGTGACTTTGGTGCCCCCTACAGTTAAGTGAGTTCACTGTGAGGCTCACCAAACTTACACACTCCCAGAACAGATGTTTGAGGGAAGCCTGGGAAAGACACAGAAGCCTTTCTGCTTATTAGAAGTCAGTGTACCATCAGAATGATACTGATATGGTAAGGTAAAAAACTTCAGTGGTTCCCAGTCCTGGTCCTGGAGAAACCCCAACAGTACACATTTTGGAGGGCTCTCTCATCTGACACAACCATTTCAGGTCTTGAAGTCCCAACTAATGAGCTGATGAGTTGAATCAGGTGTGTTTTATTGGGGAGACATACTGTAAAAAATGCACAGTGTTGGGGGGCCCCAGGACCAGGATTGGGAACCACTGTTAAATACAGAGTTCTGGCATGAAACTCTAGATGGCGCAGTCCGATAGGTCTAACTCAATCTGACCTAATGACGTCATTGTCACATGGCACAGCTGATTGGTTCTCTCCTGTATCGGTAGCCAATGAGCCCGCTGCTCAACATTCAAATATTTGACTAGTGCTTGCCGTAGCAGTGCAGCTTGCTTCAGAAACCCTTCCCCAGCTCCACCTGTATAGATCTGCTACGAGGTGATTCATGAATGCTATATGGGGGTTATTCATGTATGTTATATTTGCAGCAGCAGTATTTCTTACATGCTCACAGCAGCATGTTGTGGATGTATTGGCAGTCGCAAGTCTAGGTACTTGCAGCAGCAGTAGCAGATCTATTCCGCCAAGACCAAATACATTAACATTGTCATGTACATTATTACCGTGCCAATCCCTCCGAGAGTTATCATGACAGAAATTATTTTAAGGTAAAGAGTGCTGTAGTTAATATTTTGAATTTAGGACTACTTTGAAGCCTTAATTTTAAAAGTATCAAATTAAGACTTTATTATTACACTGACTATATTCATATCATATTAAGTTATTACGATTGTAAACAATTTTCTTTATTAGTAGTAACAGTAAACAATAAGCTTAAAGCATGTTTAAATGTTACAGTTAAAATGTAAACCATATGCATACCATAGAAAAAGATCATAATTGTAAAATTGTATGAAAAACAGCCTCGGTAAGACTCAAAAGTTTTATCAAACAGAGATTCTTCAGCATCCTCACGATCTAAATGAAAAGCTGAACAGTATTACCGTTTTAAATTTGTCTCTTATTTTAGGCAATCGGTTTGTACTGTCAGAGTGATTCGGGGTTGGGATGGGCTGCGTTTTCTCTGCGGAGGAATGGCAGGAAGAACTTGAATGTTTCGTAAAGATTCTCCTGTCAGTGGCGTAGGGAAGGAGCCGAGCGACTGGCTTTGGGGAATGCCGGCTCGGTGCAGTTTGGATGCATATGGAGGTGGAAGAACAGCCAGGCCCGCTCCTAAAGAGGATTTCGACTTCTTCACTCCCTGAGAGACCTGGTCGGGTGGCAATGAAACTGTGGAACACATGAAAGCTGGTTTTGTTAAACCGAAGATGTGAACAATGCTTATGTTTAGAAAAAGTACCTGCTGGGAGTATATCATATTTGATTCTAATACATTATTTTATCATACAAGGAACAGTGTGTTGTACTGTAAAGTGCTGTAAAACATTTTGTTTCAACATTTTCCCCCATTTTAATTATAAATATAGAAAGCAAAACAGCAAATACCTGGAAACAAATATGGAACAATCAAATTCAACAAAGGCTTGCTACTTTTTCTCATTTGTGACAAATGCAGCCCTAAACAATATCCTATTTTGTGCAATCTTTGTGAATCTAATTGAAGTACTTTATTTTTTTTTTTCAAAAATGAAGCTGAAAAACTTGTGTGGATGTTATCAAATTTAACCCGCTATTTCAGATGATAGCAGTTCTATCATTTACAATTGCCCTGTTTTGTAAATCTGACCCTAATAATCTAGCACAGAGTCTTACGGAGCATGAAAATATGAGGATATAAGGATTAAACTTACATCTGTGAGTGCAGTGGTCACGGATGGGAGCAAGACTGTTACGTGTGAGAGCAGATTCTCTCACCCTCAGAGGTAAAAGATGATTCTGAGCTGCTCAGAGAACACGACACAAAATTACTAATTTTACAAGCATATATTTCATAGAGTAATTCACTGATATATATATATCTGGATGATTCTTCAATTAGGGACACCTGACTATTTAAAATCTTGACAAATGAAACATGATATTATGAAACAATTGAAACAAATAATGTTTCATATGTTAACACTTGCAACTGTTGTAATTATCTTTTGATTTATTGGGGAGACATATTGTAAAAAATGCACAGTGTTGGGGGGCCCCAGGACCAGGATTGGGAACCACTGTTAAATACAGATTTCTGGCATGAAACTCTAGATGGCGCAGTCCGATAGGTCTAACTCAATCTGACCTAATGACGTCATTGTCACATGGCACAGCTGATTGGTTCTCTCCTGTATCGGTAGCCAATGAGCCCGCTGCTCAACATTCAAATATTTGACTAGTGCTTGCCGTAGCAGTGCAGCTTGCTTCAGAAACCCTTCCCCAGCTCCACCTGTATAGATCTGCTACGAGGTGATTCATGTATGCTATATGGGGGTTATTCATGTATGTTATATTTGCAGCAGCAGTATTTCTTACATGCTCACAGCAGCATGTTGTGGATGTATTGGCAGTCGCAAGTCTAGGTACTTGCAGCAGCAGTAGCAGATCTATTCCGCCAAGACCAAATACATTAACATTGTCATGTACATTATTACCGTGCCAATCCCTCCGAGAGTTATCATGACAGAAATTATTTTAAGGTAAAGAGTGCTGTAGTTAATATTTTGAATTTAGGACTACTTTGAAGCCTTAATTTTAAAAGTATCAAATTAAGACTTTATTATTACACTGACTATATTCATATCATATTAAGTTATTACGATTGTAAACAATTTTCTTTATTAGTAGTAACAGTAAACAATAAGCTTAAAGCATGTTTAAATGTTACAGTTAAAATGTAAACCATATGCATACCATAGAAAAAGATCATAATTGTAAAATTGTATGAAAAACAGCCTCGGTAAGACTCAAAAGTTTTATCAAACAGAGATTCTTCAGCATCCTCATGATCTAAATGAAAAGCTGAACAGTATTACCGTTTTAAATTTGTCTCTTATTTTAGGCAATCGGTTTGTACTGTCAGAGTGATTCGGGGTTGGGATGGGCTGCGTTTTCTCTGCGGAGGAATGGCAGGAAGAACTTGAATGTTTCGTAAAGATTCTCCTGTCAGTGGCGTAGGGAAGGAGCCGAGCGACTGGCTTTGGGGAATGCCGGCTCGGTGCAGTTTGGATGCATATGGAGGTGGAAGAACAGCCAGGCCCGCTCCTAAAGAGGATTTCGACTTCTTCACTCCCTGAGAGACCTGGTCGGGTGGCAATGAAACTGTGGAACACATGAAAGCTGGTTTTGTTAAACCGAAGATGTGAACAATGCTTATGTTTAGAAAAAGTACCTGCTGGGAGTATATCATATTTGATTCTAATACATTATTTTATCATACAAGGAACAGTGTGTTGTACTGTAAAGTGCTGTAAAACATTTTGTTTCAACATTTTCCCCCATTTTAATTATAAATATAGAAAGCAAAACAGCAAATACCTGGAAACAAATATGGAACAATCAAATTCAACAAAGGCTTGCTACTTTTTCTCATTTGTGACAAATGCAGCCCTAAACAATATCCTATTTTGTGCAATCTTTGTGAATCTAATTGAAGTACTTTATTTTTTTTTTTCAAAAATGAAGCTGAAAAACTTGTGTGGATGTTATCAAATTTAACCCGCTATTTCAGATGATAGCAGTTCTATCATTTACAATTGCCCTGTTTTGTAAATCTGACCCTAATAATCTAGCACAGAGTCTTACGGAGCATGAAAATATGAGGATATAAGGATTAAACTTACATCTGTGAGTGCAGTGGTCACGGATGGGAGCAAGACTGTTACGTGTGAGAGCAGATTCTCTCACCCTCAGAGGTAAAAGATGATTCTGAGCTGCTCAGAGAACACGACACAAAATTACTAATTTTACAAGCATATATTTCATAGAGTAATTCACTGATATATATATATCTGGATGATTCTTCAATTAGGGACACCTGACTATTTAAAATCTTGACAAATGAAACATGATATTATGAAACAATTGAAACAAATAATGTTTCATATGTTAACACTTGCAACTGTTGTAATTATCTTTTGATGTGGCTTAAAGAATTGCACTTATTTTCATGTGTTGGCTAACATGCCAAAGCACATGTGAAGTACTTGATTATACTTTGACCTGCAGTGTGTTATTCCTTTTTACACTTCATATGCTTTAATTGCACCATATTGCAACTTCATCATTACAGAGGTGTATGATAATCGGGTTACACTTTATTTTAAAGTGTTCTTGTTACAGTATAATTATACAATTAAGTACTGAGTAATATTAATTAACTACATGTACTTACTATATGGTTAGGGTTTGGCTTAGGGTTACTTGCATGTAATTATGCATAATTAATTGTTATTATAATAGTAAGTACATGCAACAAGTGTAACAAGGACACCTTAAATACATATATTTTAGTTGATCACAAATGCTTGTCAGTATATTCTGCAGTAAATTTTGACCATGCTTCAAAGACAAGTGAAGTAATTATAAAATTACATATAAAGATTTGTAAAGATATAAAGATACTTAAGTCGCACTTAAGTGGGTCACAAAAAGTTGAGCTAATTGCATTTTATATATATTTCAGCTATGATACATTTTCTTTTAATTGTAGCTAATTAAGTGTCAGAAAACATTACATTACACGTAAGCCCAAATTAGTGAAATTCTGCCAAATGCCTAAAAACTAAAGTAACAGATGCGGTAAACAGTACAGAACCATTTGCCATTATAATAAGTGTACAGTCTTTTCAAACTTAGATGATTGCTAAAATAAGTAAAGAGACTAAAATAACCCTAGGAGTCAAAAATGTTCACCTAAATGAAGAATCACCTAACACTACCAATCCTGAATATGTTACCTTGGTAATTTCTCTGTATGTATGGCGTGTGATTTGAGCACAGCACGTCTAAAGGACTTGTGGATCCATGCAGCAGATTGTCGAGCAGCCGTTCAGATGGAGTTGAGATCCATGCTTTGTGAGTCAGTATCTGACTGGGTTCAGTCTTCCACGCCTGTCCAGGAGCTTTTTGGTCCTTACTTTTGCCATCAAACAGGTCATGCTCGCTCTTGCTCTTCTGCGACCTGTGCGCTAAATGTCCTGCCACATGACCTCCGCTGGTCCTGTGGGCCAATGTCTGAGAGTTTACCAGCAGGGACTTCCCGAGAGTGATTGGAGGAAGACTCTGTGTGCGTATGGGTGGGAGACTTTGGAGGTCCTTACTGGATGTGTCCTCAGCGAGGTGGACTTTCTCAGAGTCATTATTTCGTTTTCTGACAGCAGAGCTGGTTTCGCTCTCATCTCTGGGCTCAGTGACACATTCGAACATAGTAATGATGTCATCCACCTCAGACGTCTCTTCTTTGAGCTGACATTCTTGACTCAAGTCTGTCTGCTGAGAAGGATGCAGTTCTTTCTTCTTCTTACAGAAGATGTGGTTCAGCATGCGAAATTTCCCCTCCTTGCGTATAGAAGAGTCACTGTTTTGAGCATGCAATGGCCTGCTTGACTCAGACCTGTGAAAAGTAATGCCATCTTTAGTTCTGAAAAATACTTTATGGGAACTCTTCCAGCATTTTACATATATACATTTTATATAATCCTATTGCTCAAAATGCCTGGGGAAGGGGGGCTTGTCATACTCTCAAAACATTACATATATTAAAATATCAATTTAGGTTACTGATACTTCATGTGTGCAAACAAGTGATAATAATAATAATAATAATAATAGCATAGTATTTAAAAAAAACAGTATTTAAAAATGAGGAAAAGCAAAATGTGTGTTGATAAACACAGTAAAAACAGATGTCACAGTGCAGAATGTATAAAAAGAACGCTATTGTTACGAATCCTGTCCATGGAATTCCGTCTGATTGCCACCAGAGGTCACTCGTCCATCATATTGACTCTCTCACTACACAGTTACACGTCACCACGGACTACATTTCCCATCATCCATAGCACTAATTGCACAGCTGTAACCAATCACACACACACACTATATTACACTTACTCAGATCCTTCTCAAACTGCCGAGTACTGTTTAGCGCATATCACTCTTCTAGCGATAGCTGCATTACGGAGCCATTCCTAGTTCCCGGTCCTAGTTCTAGTCTTAGTCTAGCCACTTCGTGTTGCCTTGTTGTCTGTTTCCTGACCTTCTGCCTGTGTTTCTTGGATTAACCCTTTGTCTTGCTGTTTCGGACTGTGTTTGCACCTCTATTGCTCGTGTTATTGGACTACCCCTCTTGTCAAGCCCTCTGGATACTGTTCGCCGATCGAAGACCCACGCTAGCCCTAGGAATATTCTTTGTCTTGACTGTGATATACCTGTGTTATCTGACCTTTGCCTGTTTATTGACCACGCCTTTGTAAATAAAGCCTTGCACATGGATCCGCACGTCTCGTTCGTCCCGTAACAGCTATCAAAAAATATTAATTTGAATGAATAACCGATTTGCTATGCACATATATAAACCATCTTTCACAATGAATATTTTAAAGACATAAATTGCATTACTTGATAAAACATGACAATCTACCTGTAATTTTAAATATAATTATTTATAAACATAGATGTAAATAGATTATTTCTAAAAACGGAGTATGAAATAGTATACTATAGTACACCTATACGATTCAGTCCATAACCAGGTCCAAGTAGAAGCTACCGAGAGTTTGCATTTTAGGGGAATTGCATTTTTTTTTTCTCTGATTTATGGGGGAATCTGCTTCATTCTGCTGCCTGAGTATGGCTTGGTATGATGTTGTAATATGTGTTCATTGGAAGTAAGATTACTATACACTAAATGATGAAAGTGCAATTACTTGTAATAAGTAC